ATATGCTGACTCTCTGTAAACCGCTTAGAGAGGGCTGAAAGCCCTATGAAGCGGTATATAAGTCTACTGCTATTGCTATTGCTATTGCTATCCAACAAAATTAAATGGCATCTTCAGTGTACATTATAACCAGAGGTGGGTTCCTACCAGTTCGCACCTATTTGGTAGAACCGGTTCGTCAAATCTACTGAACTGGTTAAAAGAGGTTCCACCAGTGGACCCGGAAAGCAGGCCACACCTACAGAAGAGGTTCCAATTTTTTTTGAAACCCACCACTGATTATAACTATAAAAATAAAACACAAACACACATCCTTTGCATTCTCTGCAAATGAACTGAAAAGCCCCTGATATTGCATTAATATTGCACTATACAGTAGAAGTCAAAATAGTTACTGCTCTGGGATAGAAGCTGTTTTTCAGCCTAGTTGTCCTTGTTTTTATTTTGTCCTGTACCGTCTGCCAGATGGTAATAGTTAAAAAGAAGGGTTCCCAGGATGAGGTGTATCTTTAAGAATGTTTTGAACTTTCTTAAGGCGGCGGGAGCTATAAAACTCTTCCAAAGAGTGGAGAGGGCAACCAATGATCCTCTGGGCAATGATATTTGAGTGCTGTCCTATTTGCCACTTGCAATTGGTAAACCATACACAGGGACAGTAAGTTAAAATACTCGGTATGGTGCAGCGGTAGAAGGTCACCAACAATTTTTTCATTCAGTTGCTGTTTTCTGACAGGTCTCAGGTAGTATAATCTCTGCTGGGCCCTTTTGACCATAATCCAGGCAGCAATCTTAGCAAATTTAAAAAGATTTTTTTTTTTTTTAAAAAAAGCAGCATTGGTGATATCAGGATATCCTAGGTTTGTAGGCTAAGCTAGGATTTGAAAAATTGCATCCGAGAAAGACATTAGCCAACCACTTTGGCAAAGTGGGCCAGCTGGTGTTGACTCTAGAGGGTCTTTAACGTTTATCCTTTCTAATAAAATAACTGAAAGCAGATTTGGGGGGGGGGGAGACCCGTGAAAAAATGTGATGTGCAGTTTGCCTCTAAATTTACATAAAATAAAATATAGCTTTGAATCCTGAGTTAGTTGAAGGTCAGATTGGGAAGGGTGGAAAGTGCTTTCCCCCACCCCTAGATCTGCATAGCAAGAAGATTAAGTAGGGTAATCAACTCCTTCCTTGGTCACCCAGATATAATGGATGGATGTGAAATTTGTCAGTTCCCTAGTCAAATTTAAGATTGCTTCATCTGCTGCAGTGAGTTAAATAAGCCATTTCTTAATTAAGCTTCCCAACAGAGCAAAACCTGTTTTTATTTTGTAATGTCTTGTTTAATGAACCTTAAATTAACAGTCATTCAGCCAACAATTAAAAGGACTAATCAAATTAAGTGCTAGTTGCCACTTGATGAATAATCGACAATAATTATAAATGGAATAATCGTGCCGCACAAAATCATCATTTATAGGATTACATCCGTTTTCAGCTTTGTTTTTTTTTTTTACTGTCCTATGAAATTGCTGTACCTTAGAATGTTAGTCTCCATTCTTAACTTTTTCTATAATTTTCCCCTATTGATAAAGTTTGGGCCGAGCAAGCCAGCCAAACTGAAAAGCCAAAATTTACAAGTTATTTAGCCCCCAAAAAACTAATTGCTACTTTGGTGGTTCCCTTGTTGAATGTCTTCTCCAATGAGTTTCAACTCAGTGCTGCTGATTGATCTATTAAAAAAGGGTCATTACTTCTAAATAGGGCCGTCACCACTGAGGAAATCTTAGCTGATTGTGAGTTCTAATTGATTTACTTGATTAAGGTGGGGCAATTTAATTGACTCTCAACCTAAATTTGCATATTTTGAATAATGCAAAAAGAAAAAAAAAGAAAACTTTGGGTTTTACATGATACACACTTCCTCATAAACAGAGGTGGGCTACTGCCGGTTTGGACTGGTTTGGGCGAGCTGGTAGTTCCAACTATCGGCTGGGCCCACCCCCCCTGCCCTGGCAGATCCCGTCCTATAGAAGAGCTGAGGTGGCGCAGTGGTTAGGGTGCAGTACTGCAGGCCACTTCAGCTGACTGTTATCTGCAGTTCAGCGGTTTTAATCTCACCTGCTCAAGGTTGACTCAGCCTTCCATCCTTCCGAGGTGGGTGAAATGGGGACCCAGACTGTGGGGGCGATATTCTGACTCTGTAAACCGCTTAGAGAGGGCTGAAAGCCCTATGAAGCGGTATATAAGTCTAACTGCTGTTGCTATTGCTATATATCTCACTCTCTGGCTCTCTTGCCCCGCCCATGCAGCCCAGCTGATTCCCTCGCTTCGCCCGCTTTACTCACTGTGGCTGCCCGAGAAGGTGTGCTGGAAGCTGCGTTGAGGAAATTGCTGTGTTTTTGAAGACCCGCACGCACTCACATTTTCAGTTCTGCACTAGGCAATCCGGTTGTTAAATTATGTGAAGCCCACCTCTGCCCATAGACCAGCACAACCAGTCTCCTAACACAACAAAGTCCAGATAGTTGGGTTAACATCAGTCTTCATTCTCGATTGACCATGCTGACTTTTAGGGCTACCATCAATTGAGCTCCAAAATCTATATACATTTTCATCAACATATTAGATTTTTTTTAAAAAAAGGTAATCCCAATGTAATCTAATGAATGGCTAATAAATGCCCACTTACTACTTGATGCCTTGCAGAAATGGGATGAATTACTCCCACTGAGTTTTATTGATGGGTTTATTGATTTATTTATTTTTTGGAATCGATTTTGCAATTTTGCAAAATAGCCTTGGAACCACTTCAGAAAGAGCAGCGTATGGATTTTCGCTGCTTTCCTTTTTCTAATCTATTTTAATATCCCAGCAACCAAGGATGAATTTCTAATGACAAGAAATTGGAAGATGATAATCTTAAACTATCATGTGCAGAATGCAGCAGCGTGATACCTATGAAGGACGGGAGCTATGAGTGCCATATCATAGCAATATACTCTGCCAGTCAGTGTGCTGATTGCCAATATGCTTCAAAATGCAGTTCAAAGTGCTGTTTTTTTAACCTCTGAAAACTCTTAAGATCTTGGTGCTTTTTTTAACCTATGTAGGATCACCTGTTTCCCGGAGGACCCATCTGTTCAGTGTGCTCAACCCAGAGGAGCCTATCACTCCAATCCAACGAGATCTGAAGAATAAGGGGAAGAACACATTGGATTTCCACCGATACTCCTCTCCTAAGAAACATCATGCTTCCGGAGAACTGGATGATACCCTCCATTGCATCTTCTGGAGCAGGGGATCTCAAACTTGTGGACTTTAACTCCCAGAATTCCTCAGTCAGCAAAGCAACGCTGGCTGAGGAATTCTGGGTGTTGAAGTCCACAAGTCTTAAAGTTGCCAAGGTTGGAGACCCCTGTTCTGGTGGCGGTCCAGATAAAGCTCTTTTGTGGTAGAACATTTGCTTTTCGAAGACTTCTAGAGATGATCGGATGACAGGGTGTTTTTTTTTCTTTTTCCTGCGGTGGTGGTATGGTCTTTATTTTATGGATTTTGCCTATTGTAGACTTCTGGGGATGGATATAAATTTGACAGTGTCTAAGTATCATGATATAAATCAATAAATGGATGAATGAAGCCAGACAAGAGATAAAGCTCTCGTTTTTAAAACAATGTGGTATTTTTGCTGTAGGCTTTAAGAACAGTGATCCTATAAAATGGTATCCTATAAAAACTTCTGGTCCCGCCACAGTGGCGATAGTTTATTCTCTTGTTTGGAGAGCGCTTATTTTATATGCTGGGATTATAGGATTTGGGGCTCTTCAGGTGATGCTAAGATGCAATTCCTAGCATCTTTTATCATCGACAACCCTAGCTAATTGGGAATTGTCATTCAATTATATTTAAGGCGGTCACCTCTATCATAAAATATTCTAGCTAATAAAAAGGGTTAGGGTGAGGGGCGTCCAGGTTTTCATCGCAATGCATCATTGTTAGCTTGCAAAAGTCTTTTTGCATTCTTTTCATTCCCTACTTCTCTACCCACATAATTCCCATTAAGCTCTACGGGAAAAAACCGCCAGGCTTCAGATAATTCTAGTTTTCTCTTCAATGGGAATGGGTGAGCCCCTATTGCAAAAGAAGGTTGCGTCACCAGGACAGGTATTCCTAGAAGGGAGGGAATCAAATATTATTATCTGAACAGTGGAGCCACCAAATGCAAAAGTTCTTAGATGGACCTTGTGAGAAGTATAGTGTGGAAAATGATGTCCAAGGCTGCCACCCTGTGGAATATGAAACAATTATAGCATCTAGCGATCTTCGGGGCATTCTCTTCAATGTTCCTAAGAGTTTAAATCCAAAGCTCTTGCATATACAGTACATGACTGCAGTTAGTAATCTCAGCATTCTCGTTTTGGGGAGAGGATTGAAATTCAAGATTCTTCTAAATATCAATCACAGGTCAGGTCTGGGGCTCCCTGGTGTGAAAACTGCCAGCTTATTACCAGCTGTATGGATTGCTGTTCGGCCAGAAATGATTTCCCTACTGACATTCTCTGACATTTTTGCAGATGAAGAATCCAATATGGCTCTGAATTGTTTACTTAAGGTCTAACAGCACACCTTAAGGAGCACGGTGGCTCACGTGGTAACGACACTCGGTAGGAAGTTAGCAAGCCTGCATTTGAGACTCGAGTGCTGCCGTGGGACGAGGTTGAGCTCTGTTCCCATCCTTCACTCTAGCTGCTGCCAGAGATATGAAAGGAGGCCCCAGCTGGATGTCCTGCGGGCAACAACGATGCCGCTCGCTAATCCTTTCAACTTGGAAGCGCCTCGGTGCTTCTGACACAAGTGCTTTGCCACAACACACCTCTTCTCACACACAACACTTGGGAATGATGATTGAGGAGGTGGTGGTGGTATTTAGCAGGTTCTGACCGGTTCTGGAGAACCGGTAGCAGAAATTTTGAGTAGTTCGGAGAACTGGTAAATACCACCTCTGGCTGGCCCTGCCCCCATCTATTCTCTGCCTCCCGAGTCCCAGCTAAATCGGGAGGGAATGGGGATTTTGCAGTAACCTTCCCCTGTCATGCCCACCAAGCCACACTCACAGAACAGGTAGTAAAATTTTTTGAATCCCACCACTGTTGAGGACCATGGTCTTCCATGGTTAAGTCAACCAGGGGACAATGTGCATCGAACCAGAAGCTTCCTGTGGCACCAGGTGGACTTTGGTTTCTACTTGCTTCAATACTGGGGATAATTGCAGAGAAAAAGTCATGAGACAAAATTCATTACAGAGCATTATTTCTCCCTGAGGAAGACCTTAATACTCCAAGAAAGTAAAATAAGGAACGAATGCATATTAGAGCAGCTAGCAAGTATTGATACCGCACACCCATTTCTAAATTCTAAGCCTTAAATTTGATTGCTGGCTAGGGAATTCTGGGAGTTGACGCCTATACATCTTAAAGTTGCCAAGGTTGAGAAACACTGATCTAAAGGTACATATATTAATCAGTCAGAATAGAGCTGAAAGGGATCTTGGAGGTCTTCTAGTCTGCCCCCCTGCTCAAGCAGGAGACCTTATACCATTCTAAACAAATCTGTTCTGTCCAGTCTCTTCTTAAACACCTCTAGTGATGGAGAACCCACAATTTCTGAAGGCAAACTGTTTCCACTTGTTAATTGTTCTCACTGTTAGGAAGTTTCTCCTTAATTCCAGGTTGCTTCTCTCCTTGATTAGTTTCCATCAATTGTTTCTTGTCTTGTCTTTTATTATTAACTAGTTGATAACCTGGCATTGTCCGGGTGTTTATGTATAGGGGGAAAATGTCCAGACCAAATGTAATTTCTAATGTTGGATTTTCCCCCTTACCAGAGGGAGCCCCCTTGTGGAGTACTGTGAAGCTGTTACCATGTCAACTCCACTGCGCTGTACAGTAGAAGCCATTTTATGGCAGTACAGTAGAAAACATGTGAAGGCACAACAGGCTGTATCATAAGAGAGCACACACCCCAAGGGATGTTAGGGGTGTCTTATCCCAACAGTATTTGTTTCCAGAGAAACAAATCTGTGTACCAAGTTTGATTGAAATTGCTTGAGGCATTGCAGACTTATGCTGCAACACACACACACACACACACACACACACACACAGCCATTTTTATTATTAATATATTTTTTATAAATAAGTAAAATACTTTTATTCTGAATATTGATTTTGGGAGAGAACAATACATTGTGTTAATCAAACGGGATCTTCTGATTTAGTGCTTCCCCAGACCTACCTGAGCTGAGATTCCTGGTTCACTGAATATCTGCAGAGTTGAACATGACAAACTATAGTTCTCCATCATTGGTCAAAACACCCTGGAAAGTATTGACCTGCAGCAAGAACAAAGGGGAGACTGTAGCTCTTTACTTTTATATAGGGCAATGAGTCTGCAGTATATTGGCACTTGTGTTCAGGAGATTGTACACAAACAAATGTTTCTTCCCCCAAGTAGCCTCAGTAAGGGAATCTCTTGGGTTTAATTTAAGAGATGGATCCTCAGCAATTTAGTTCTGGAGGTTCTTTTATAAGGCTACCACTTCGTTATGAAAAATGAAAATTGCACCTCTAAGCATAAAGAGGGTTTCATTTCTTGTTGCCAGTGAGAGAGAGGAAACTAGCTCAGATCGGTATCTGTTTCACTTGGAATCGATCTGCACTCTTTCCCATCCTAGCAAATCAGGAGAGCTCAGATATTTTTTTCCAGGTCGAACTGAGAATCTCAGCAAAATAAACATTTTTATCTTGCCAGGTGTGTGCTTAGGCATATCATCCCTTCTCTTCTCTTTGTTTCCTGTGACACATGGAGAACCAGTTCCAAAGTATCTAGGACAGGGGTGTCAAACTGGATTTCTTTGAGGGCCAGATCAGCATTGTAGTTCTCCTCTGCGGGCTGGCTGGTGGTGGTGGTGAAACGGGCATGGGGAGCTGTGTGCGCCACCCCCCCATGCCCCATTTTCAGCTTGGATGGCATCCTACAGGACTTTGTCAGAAAGGGAGGACACTGGAGGGGGGTGTTACATTGAACCACAAACTAACTAAAGAGCCTTGATTCTCCCAATGGATTAAGTCATCAAAAAACTAACTAGCCATGGTTATAATTAACCAAATTCAGCATGTTGCGCAAATGCAGGTAAATCTTTCACTCATCTTGTTAAATATGCCAAGGCAATGAGACCTATCTCTTTTTTTTGACCCGCAATAGGCCACATTAGGGATGTGGTGGCTCATGGCTAAGATGCTGAGCTTGTTGATCAGAAAGGTCGGCAGTTTGGTGGTTCGAATCCCTAGTGCCGTATAACAGAGTGAGCTCCCATTACTCGTCCCCGCTTCTGCAAACCTAGCATTTCGAAAGCATGTAAAAATGCAAGTAGAAAAATAGGAACCACTTTTGATGGGAAGGTAACAGTGTTCTGTGTGCCTTTGGCATTTAGTCATGCCGGCCACATGACCATGGAGATGTCTTCGGACAGCGCTGGCTCTTCGGCTTAGAAACAGAGATGAGCACCACCCCCCTAGAGTCAGGAACGACTAGCACATATGTGCGAGGGGAACCTTTACCTTTAAGCCATGTTGGCCCAAGTACCAATAAAGGCCCAGGTAGCTGTGAAAGGGAGGGATGGATTGATGTTTTGCAAGTACAAAGTGTAAGAAGATTTGTTCCCCTGTAGTACAGACCCCAAAATGGGGTAATAAGGGGTCATCCATCCTTTAAGTATAAAGGATCAGGAATAAGTCCAAATTGGGAAAGTGTCATACCAAAGGAAATCACTCCATTATTGTCTGCCAGACGGACGGACACACAGTCAGCCTCTGCTTTGCTGCTGCTTCGGCTGCCATTGAAACGGGGAGGGGGGGCATGGTATTTGGGAGGGGATTACTAATT